AACCGATTGAATTTGTATGAACACCTGTAAGTGTATTATGGTACTATTCAACGATGAACATACAAATTCATAAAAAAATTTAGATGGTGATTTTCTTGAATACAAGTTTCATCTTGTTTGACTTGGACAGAACAAAAATCAATGATTACTCATATTTACTATCAACTATGGTAAACATATGATGATTATCGAGGAATGTCATTCAACATATTGAAATTTTGCATTATTGTATTCACTGTTTAAGAAATCGATTTGTTTCTTACAAACTCTCTTATGGTTCCAGACAAAAATAGAATTCAATTTTAGAACAGCTGATGCGTGTGCGCACATGTCACTTAGGTTGAGAGTGAAGCGCAGCTATGACTAAAATCATATAAGTTTTTCAATGCTTTAAGAAATATCTAATATTCAATCTTTATGTAAATTATTGTTGTAGTAGTAATAAAGTTATTCTGAATGATATTGCATAATATCGGTTTCGAATTTTTCAACGTTAGAAATATCTCGTCTACTTGTCTTTACAATTGAGAAAATTCTAAAATAAAAATACTCTTAGATATATTCAAAAAGACATCTTTCAATATTGTCAAAATTATAGGTCAAAGTTGAATTCCTCATCATGAAAAGTATTTAAAACAATATTATAACAAATTGATGAAGTTGAAAATTAATATTTGAAAAGGTCGTAATATAAATTATTGCCAGTTTATAGAGATCATCAAAATATTTCGTCATGACAAAATAATACAATTTTCTGTTCGGCTACAACTATTAGTGATCACTAAGGTCAACATTAGACGTTATTTTCAACTTATCAGCTCAGTTAGAAAATCGAATACTGCTTGTTGTATTTCTCTTCCTATGAAAATAAACATAAAGTCAATTCAATCGTTGTAGAATGACGTTTGGTATAATATCAACAAACATTAACTTGTTAGAAAGCGTCGCAATTACAAAGGAAAGTTGAAAATAAATGGGAGAGTAGGACAATATTGTGAAAGAATAGAACAAAACACAAATAATGCTATGACACATCTATTTTGTACGTTTTGTCCACATGGTAAAGAAGATATTTTGCTTTTCCGCAGGTAAACATATATCTATTGAAAAAAATAGTCACATCGGTTAAATACTTTACGCTTGAGATAGTTGATCAGTGATGAAGCCTACAACCACTTCACATATTTATGTGCAACTTTGACTGTAAGTATACACGTATTTTAGTTATATTATCATTAATCAGCAAAAAAAAATATCGAAAGTTAAACAAATGAATGAAAGATAGAAACAGGATAGATATGTCAATGTACTATAAATGATGCCAGACGTTTTCGTCTATAATCAATTAGGAGGATAATGACACATAAATTCATTGACGAAAACAATGAGTATAAGACATATGCAATATTCTTTTTTTAATATCATTTCTATATCGGTTCGATTGATTTCTCTTGAATTATTTATAGTCTATAAAACTCGTCATTTCTTTCTTGGTATGCAACACTGAGCACTTTAACTATCTTTTTTCATTTTTTTAACATATCATTGGGCTCAATACTGTGTTTCAGAATATTATTGCTGAAGCTTGAGGCCTTTCTTCAATTTCTAGTTTATCAAACTTGCTCATATTTGTACTATTCGGATTCCTATAATGGATAACATTGTAGTCTACGTATAATATTTTCAAGCTGTTACAGCTTCTATTGATTTTTGGTCAAATAGATATTCTTTGCGTCTTTCGAAAGTTTCACTTTGTTTCAAGTAAGTGGAAGTATACGTAGTAGAGAAGAAAAAGATGATGACTCTTAGGTTTAATCCCACCTAAGATATACTTAGAAAAAGGATGTTATGCACTTTTTCAAGCTGAAAAAAAAAAATAGTTCGAATCACATAGATAAAGGGAGACAAAAGGAAAGGGAGAGAAGAGAAAAGGGAAAATCTCATCAACGAAAGAAACAAAGGAAATGACAGAAAGAAAGAAAGAATATCTTGCTTACACAAGTAATAAAATGGGGTTGTTGATTTTTAATATTTCTTTTCAAAAAGAAATCTTTTGTCAAGGGACATTAAATGATTATTTATTAAGGCTTTTTACGTTGACATAGGAAATTTTTATAAATATTTGTTACTAGGGAATGTTTCACAGACGCCATAAATGGAGACAATATCAAAATGTAGTCAAAAGCATATAACCCTACAGCACATATATTATGTGACAGATTATGAAAATATCTTTGATCGAATCAATAACTTTCATAGGTTTATCAAAATCAATTCCTTCGACACACGGGATTTCAGAATTCCATAGAGTCAATTATTTTTATTATCACTTTATCTTAAACGAACAATTAGCAAAAGTTGATGATAACCGCTTAATCGAGCGATTCTATTGAAATTGATTCGATTTTAGTCTTTCAGCAATTTCTCGAAAAGTATAATCTGACATATATTCATTCCTTGTTTTATTATTTGGTGATTTCTTGAGAGTAAGGAGCGATTGGATGTCTGCAATTTGTCATCGAACGGTCTACCACGTCATTAGCTATCTTTTTCTTTCACTCTGTTTCATTGTAGGCTTTCTCGTGCTTCCTTTCATTATCCGATGGGCACAGAACAATGTGATTATCACTAGATGCCAGAGCAAGGATGATGCACTTCATCAACTAGTCTACCATCATAGTCTATATCTTGATGAAGATTCAATCGTTGATGTTGTTAACTACAATCGACCGAGCAACGTCTATACCATAGAGTATGAGAATGATCGAATGATGCATTGATGCAAAGAAACGAAGAACTAGTTGATCATTGTGGGCGAAAACGCTGGAGAAGAACAAACTAAGCGACTGGATGATTCAGAGGATTTGTCGTTTGATTCTGATGATAATCTTGATTTCATTGATTTCGAGAATCATCTAGTCTAGCGCTTTTCTATCGAAGCTCCGCATTGGAGAAATGCGGGTGGTAGAGTCTAGTGGCAAAACAGTAGTTCCCTCTTCTCGAGAACACTGATTTGGCGAAGATGATTGTGAGTGTACTTCTCACATACCACTGTTCTCAATGAAAGAAAGAATGGTTTAGTGCTTAGTCAGGAGGCAACTATCTCACAAGTTCGAATTTTGTATTATACTTGATAGTACGCCTCCCAGAGAATTGTAAAAGGATTTGTGTCCACGACTTAACGGTCATTATTTGAGATCATTTTGCTAAAATTTTTATCAATAGAATGAAATTTTCGGAAACAAATGAAATTATACATTCTACTTCCAATGTTGACTACAATTAGATCGACTTATCATTAGAATTTCCTGAAATTTTCACCGAAAACGAATATGTACTTGACGAGAAAGTGAATCTACAATTATGTTCGACTCTTACGGTTTTTCTCTGAGAATCAACTAGTTTTTTCTTGAATTCAATATCTCGACAAATAAACACACATTTTTCCTGAATATTTCAGAAAACTTGAATGACAACTAGATTTATCTATAGACGAAACCAAAGGTCAAAAAAATATTTTTTTTATTTTTTTTTCAGGGAATACCATCTTATGGATGGAAGACTTAGTAAAGTAACTCTCAAATTATGATTGTCGAGTCATGGACACAAATCTTTTTGACGATTTTTCAGTTATTGAGAGATTGAATTCCAGTCATAATATGAAGTCTTAACATCGCAGACAGCTGAGATAGTGTCCATGCCAATGAGTGATATCTTTTGTTTGTTTCGGTAGCCGTAGCTATCGAAAAGATGATTCCTACCATCTTTTAATAGCTTGTAATGTCTGTAGTTCAAACGCGCACTCGTCTCAATGATCGAATAATCATCAGAGTAATAATCTATTACTTTCAAAAAGAAAGCTTACGAGTATTCGGACAGTAGAACGTTATCTTGTCTCTTCAGCTGCAGGTCGATCAATCAGTAGATCTAGCAAATACATTTCAAATCGTACAATTATTTGATCGAAGTAGAATAATTATACAAAGTATGTAGTAGCCCAAACTGAAGATGAAAATATTGTAATCAAGAATAAAGATTGATTAAATAGATGGAGACAATACTTAGATGACTTTTTTTTAAATCTGAACATTGAGATTGATGAGAATATATTAAAATAGATTCAATTACCTCCTCTCGATCAACAACGAGCTCTTTCATCAAGATGCTACATCTATAGTCGAGAAGATTATTAAAGCAATCGAACGGGGTAGACGTACGAGGGCTGCGAGAGGGAAGAACTACCTTTGAAAATTTTGAAAGCAGATGATCACTCTCTGACACACTGATGATAGGAAAATGTCGTTGATAATTGCAAATTAGAGATCACAATTCACGATTCGACCATAGGAATATTACTATGTCTGTATAAAAGTGAAACGTAGTCAGCACATCTATGACAACTATTGCCACCGATAAGAAGACATTTTCATTAATCAACACCGATATTATCACAAAATCTTAAATTTATTTAGAAAGTAGCAGTGAAAGCGTTTGACCAAGATTTCAAAAGTATCATAAACGAATTTCTATGGTTACGTCGATAGATCAACCATTCGAGATACTTCTCAACACACTTAAGTACTTTTTATCACTTTTGTATTTTTCAAATATATAAACATGAATTTATGCGCAATACGAATTTACAAATGGCATGACCGAGAATGAAAGAGAGAGAACTATATAATGTTCTATTATTCAATTCATTATGTTTTTCTTTATAAAACAAGATCGGTCAATATTTATGAAAACAAAGAGTATTCGTCGCTCGATCATGTTCTGATTTATCGATTTTTTTTAGATAGTACATATCGTTTTTCAGCGTCGTTATTGTTTGTTGCTGCTTAATATTGAATAAATTTCTCTCTCGAATTCAATCAAAACATATTCAAGTATATTGACCAAAACACTGATAGAAAAAAAAAACTTGCCATTCATACGATTATCATTTTAGATACGAAAGATCGATATACATTTAACTTGAACGAAGAGCTGAATACTTAATGGCAATGACACAAACATTGAGCGCTGTTCCAGCAATGCTCACTGATCTCTATCAAATTACGATGGCCTATGCTTATTGGAAGAATGGTAAACATCAAGATGAATCAACATTTGACCTCTTTTTTCGCAAGAATCGTAAGTAAATAAAATGTGTTTTGTGTGTGAAAGTCAGAAATTCTTATCACATATGCATTTTCGTAGCATTTGGTGGTGAATTTACATTGTTCGCTGGTCTCGAAGAATGTTTAAAATTTGTACAAAATTACAAATTTCAAGCATCCGATATCGATTATCTTCGCAAATCATTGCCCAACTATGTAGAAGAAGAATTTTACGACTTTTTATCGACACTCAACATGAATGATATTAAAATTTATGCAATACCTGAAGGTAAAATTATGTGTACATATACTTTCTTCCGTATTTTCTTAATTCGTCATTTAGGTTCTGTGGTTTTTCCTCGCTTGCCGTTGCTTCGTGTCGAAGGACCTATTCTTAAAGCGCAACTGCTCGAAACAACTCTTCTAACACTAATCAATTACGCCAGTCTGGTAGCGACGTATGCCTTTCGATTTCGTATGGCAGTAACATCTAAGAAAATATTTCATGAATGCGGTCTTCGACATGCTCAAGGTCCGAATGGAGGTCTTAGTGCTTCAAAATATTGCTATTTAGGTGGATTTGATGGTACGTCAAATGTACTAGCTGGTAAACTTTACGGAATTCCTATCCAAGGTAAATATTTGTAATAGAAAATTTGTTGATTCTTGACTTTTAATATTAGGAACGCATACATATGCTTATGTTAGTTCATATCAAAATCTTGATGAGTTGAAACTTCGAGAATTATCCGATCGAATCACTGGTGAATCACATCCATTTACTGAATTGTGCTTGAAATATATCAATGAAGTTGTTTCAATATTCAAAATCTTTCCTGACCAACTTAATAAAGGCGAATTGGCCGCATTCATTACCTATGCTATCTCGTTTCCTTCTGGCTTCTTGGCTTTGGTCGACACGTATGATGTTCTCAAATCCGGTGTCCCGAATTTTTTGGCTGTCGCTCTTGCATTAAACGAATGCAACTATCAAGCGATCGGTCTTCGTTTGGATTCTGGTGACTTGGCCTATTTATCATTGGAAATACGAACATATTTTGTTGAAGTCGCTCGAAAGTACAATCTACCCTACATCGAACGTTTAACTATTGTGGCAAGTAGTGATATCAGTGAGGATACATTGCATTCATTGGAACAACAAGGACATGCCATTGATATATTCAATATTGGAGCACATTTGGTTACATGCCAAATGCAACCAGCACTTGGTTGTGTTTATAAATTGGTTGAAGTAAGTATTTGTTAATAGAGAAAAAAAATTATAAGAATTGAAAACTATTCATTTTTTTCGATATAGTTGAATGGAACACCACGCATCAAAGTAAGTCAAGATCTCGAAAAAGTGACGATACCTGGTCGAAAAAATGTCTATCGATTTTACGATTATAACGGCGAAGCTTTATGTGACTTGATGACTGGAAGTGATGAATCAGAACCGAAAGCAGGTGTTAGAGTACTTTGTCTGCATCCATTTTCTGAGACGAAACGTGCCTATGTTACACCAACATCGGTAGAATGTATACATAAATTGTATTGGGCCAATGGTCAAATTCAACATGCACTACCGACATGGCAAGAAGTTCGTATCTATGCCCAACAACAAATCGAAACATTGCGTAAAGATCATCGACGACATCTTAATCCGACACCGTATAAGGTCTCTCTTACTAATCATCTCTATTCGTTCGCACATCGACTATGGATCAAGAGTGTACCAATTGGTGAAGTGGCCTAATAGTAGAATCAAAGAAAAACAAGAAATCAAGACTTGAATTCGGATAAATTGATAAACTATTTTTCCTGTTGATATAGTTTAGTCTTTTTCATCTGTATTTCGTCTGCTACTCTTAGAATATATATTAGATCTCCAGTTTATATTTGTCTATTCCTTTCTTTCTTTCTCATCTATATTGTTATTTCGTTGTTTGTGCCACACACGATCAAAATGCATAGAACATCTTCGACTAGATTATGACGAACACCAATTAGTTATATAATAATCTGTCAATCATGTTAAAAATATTTCAAAATATTATTGAGTTTTTCCGATTGATTTCTTTATCACTGACTAATGATATCTAGGAGTCATCTCAAATCATCGTCGATCAAATCTTACGTCAAACAATTGAGAGCATCATTGTGCCATATATACGTAGTATAGAACTAGACTGGATTCTCTGTTTTCACCGAATGAATTTGTAATTTTTCATTAGACGAAATCGAACAAACTGTTTAAAGTCAACTGACTTGCAATGTCGTCATGGTTGACATCTGTGTTCTTCAAATCATATTGATGAGATAGGCAAAATCACCAACTCGAATCCTTTTATTAGGATAGTAGTCATCAATTATCCTGAATTCGAACAAAATAAAAAAAAAACAATAACATCATGATTCAAATTGAAAGAATTAATGGTATAACGTTCAACGAATTACCCATCACAGTGAAAATTTTTTGTTCATATGATATTCAATCGAGATCAAACAAACATCATCTTGGAGAGCGAAAATTCGAAATCGAAGAATAGTTATCTTTTCGTAATTCGTAATCATGAATGCACTACTAAAGAGAACAATGTAAAAAGTTTGAATTTCATTTGCATCTTTAAAATGTCATATACAACTTCACATTATTAGTCATAAAGATAGTTGCTCAAATTTGGCATCCATTCTTGCTTGCTTGGTTTTGCTTTCAATATGTGAAAACTCTAAGTCTCTATCTTATTTCTATGAAACACTATTCACAAGACTATGGCACTTCTTTTATTTTGAAACAAAGAGTAGTTACAATAGAGATATTTTTTAGTTTCAATGACCTATAATGTTCATATCAATTCACATAATGTTTGTTACGTAGTAACATTTACATAGCAGTTGCAGCTACTTTATTCCTTTTATGCTTTTGCTGAATATAAGTAGGAACAACAGGTGGGTTTCGTCTGCAAAACCATTTCCAATAGATTTCAGGCATGCCAATTAGACAGGCAAATGGATGCAATACACCAATGAGATAGAATAGATAGAAAAAGTACAACTGTTGAATAATCACACTAAGAGTTGTTGGACCATTAATTGCTTGATAACATTGAACAAATCCAAATGGGAGATAACCCCATGAATAGAGAATAGATACAGGAAGAAATTGTAAGATCATCTTGCGATGTT